GGGTGCACTGACGGTGCAGTGCCGGCTCGGGGGGCGGTGTGGGTGCACTGACAGCGTGGTGTCTCCGCAGCGGAGGCGGCGGAGCTGCGGGCGCGGCTGCGGGCGGTGCGGCACACGGTGCTGGTGCTGTCCGGCAAGGGCGGCGTGGGCAAGAGCACCTTCAGCGCCCTCCTGGCGCACGGGCTGGCGGCGGACGAGACCAAGCAGGTGGGCACAGAGCGGGGACAGGAGGGGCAGGGCCGAGCACTGCGGGCAGGTACCTATCGTGTGCCCTACTCGTTAAAGCTTGACTTTCCTGGATGAGCCCTGTTGGAGTGATTTCATTGCGTGACATCACCTTTAGAGACAGCCCTGTGCTACCTTATTTCCAGTGGGGCAGGTTGGCTGGTTTGTTTTCCAGGTTGCCCTGCTGGACATAGATATCTGTGGGCCATCGATTCCTAAAATGATGGGTCTAGAAGGAGAACAGGTAAGTGAATACTCAAACACCTTGTTTAAGGGATTTTTTTTTTCTCAGCTTTTCATTAGCAAATTCAGACTTTTTGGATGTAGAGCTTCTAAAAGGAGTGCCTAATGGGAAATGCGGGGCACTGCGTAGGGAAATGATGTGAGATGGAGAAGTTCAGCACAATATATTTTGCAAGAGTCATCTGCTTTCAGGATGAGCAGTTCTGCAAACCAGCTTTCATTGCATATCAACCACGTAAGCTGACAACTTAAAACTTGAGTAGTATTAGTATGATGCACTTTATCAGCCCTTGAATATTTCTTACAAATACATAATGAATAAACTTGCAAAAGGGTTGAAGAGTTATTTTTCACTTATTAATGGAGATCTGGTGCTCCTGCGTTTTTACCTCAGCTGCCCCACTAAAGCAGGATTGTTCCTTCAGGCAGGAGAGCTCTTTGCCCAGGTTTGATTTATGTTCATGTTTTATGTAACATCTGTGTTAATTGTGATTGCAACTTTCACGTATCACTTCAATTTTCAGGTTCATCAGAGTGGATCTGGATGGTCTCCAGTGGTGAGTTGGTGCAGCTGTTTCAGAAAGTTCATTGGGTGTCTTTGGGTTGGATCTTCTGCAGTGACAAATGAGTGAGGGAGGAGCAGGGGGTACTCTTGTTAACTCTTTTTCTAATAACTTAAATATACAGATTCTATAGAATCTACAGATATAGGACATAGAATCTACAGAGTCTATATCCAGATTTTATAGAATAGATCTATAAAATCAAGATGCATATCATATAGAATCGGGATATAGACTATGTAGATCAGAATGTTAAATTTCTTAGTAATACTGTATTTCTAGAATTGTTTTGTTTTCTTGTGTTTACTGACTTTGCAGTATGAGTAATAAATGTGAGTTACTCAGGTTTGTTATTTTGGGGTATCATGCAGCTGTAGTGTGTCATCTTTTCTGTGACAGCCAAGAAGTATCTTGCACCCAAGAAAAACCTTACTAATCTTTACAATATGCAGAGAAGGTTTTGCAGTAGTGTTGGTTGTCTAAAGATCCCCTGTAGTGTGCATACTGTTAGAAAGGCAGCTGGTGCGGAGAGGGAAAGCTGCTTTTATCCTTATATTGTCTCTAGCAATTCCATAAACTGCTGTAACAATTTCATTTTTTCAGTCTCAGTGTTTTTGGTGAGTGTTGCACAAGCTGCAGTTTTTAATGCCCTGTGATAAAAGTTCTTTGCCTTCATTTCATTAATGTCTTCCCCCTCATCTGCTTTTTCTGTAAAATAGGGGTTCAGAGTTGTTTTTTCTACTCTTTCTTCACTGTTATGTTTCTCTGCTTCTCTTTCAGTATGTTGAAGAAAACTTAGGTGTCATGTCAGTGGGGTTCTTGCTTAGTAGTCCTGATGATGCTGTCATCTGGAGAGGACCAAAAAAGAATGGTATGTTTTGTGTGTTTCTAACAGTAATTTACATACCTAAAGGTTTCAAGTGCGGAAATATCATGAACTTGTTTAGTAATGTAGATAAGGTAGTTAGCTAAGACGTGAAATTTGAAATACAGGAAGATACCTTTTTCTCTTCCACATTCTTACCCTTTCCTCTAGGGCTGATCAAGCAGTTTCTGCGTGATGTGGACTGGGGTGAAGTGGATTACCTGATCGTGGACACGCCCCCAGGAACATCAGATGAGCACTTGTCCATAGTGCAGTACCTCAGTGCCACTCACATCGACGGTGCTGTCATTGTCACCACCCCCCAGGTATGAGCCAAAATTCCACCAGGGAAACATCATGGCAGTTAAAGGCAGTCCTTGGGTTACAAGCTATTGATTTCACAGAAATCTAAGGGTACAGAATCTCAGGGAAATGACTTTGAAGTGTTGCCCCTGCAGCTGGCTGGTCTGTGGGTTAGGTGGATGTCTCAGTGGAGCTGGATGGGGATCTACATGGGTCACTAAACCACAGCAGTTCACAATCAAAAGCTGTTGTGACCTGTGTGGTGAAAGGAAATGTGTTTCACTTCTTCCTTCAGAATCAGAGTTCACATCATTGTGGATCTGTAATTTATTCACCAGTGGTGTTCAGAAGGATGCTCATAAGAAGCTTTGTTTTTAATTAATGAGCTGTGCACTCTTTGACATGTGTGAAGCAGCCTGTCATCTCCAGGTGCATTTTTAAAAGAGAAATCGGCCCCTGGAAAGCTAAAACTAAAAACACACCCAGTTCAAACAAAGGAATTCATGTTTGGTTTGGAACAGAACAGGAGATCAAACTAGCACATGACATGAAGTATTGCTACAACGGCTGAAAGGATAACACAAAAAGGAAGAAAAGTGTTGAGGACAATACCAGAGAGGTGGTGAAGTAGGAAGGGAACAGGAGAATGAATGAGGTCAGTCATATATATGAAAGCACTGAGGAGAGAATATTTTAAATTTAATTTGAAAATAGGTATTAGTGTAAGCCTAGTGGTTCTTGTCCTCACTCTGTGGAGAATACCAAGGGTCTTTCTGTAAAATGAAAATGTGAAAAAGTTGCATTTAAAGAAGATATGAGATGAACATAAGAGATAAAACATGAATATGGGTAAATCATGATCAGAGTCAGATTTCAAAACAATCACATCCAGTAGGCTTGAAGTGTTGTACCTGCTCTGTTGATAGAGCTCATTGCACAGATTTGCGTTCCTAAAAATATTAGGACAGCAGTAATAATTCATTATAAAATAGCTCTAAGGAGGTAACTGAATGGATTCAGCATGTAACATTACAGTTGAAATACCAGTGTTTGCTAATATTTATAGGAAGTGTCACTTCAGGATGTTCGGAAGGAGATCAACTTCTGCCGCAAAGTGAAGCTGCCCATCATAGGTGTTGTGGAGAACATGAGTGGCTTTGTGTGTCCTAAGTGTAAGGTAAGGCTGGCTGTGTATTACAGTGTTCTTTCCTTGGCATTGCTTGGATATCAAACATTGCTCCAAAAATGCCTTATTCTTAGAATTACAGTATTTTAACTCTGATTTTGATGTTGTCCCAGAATGAATCTCAGATCTTTCCCCCAACTACGGGTGGTGCAGAGAAGATGTGCCAGAACTTGAATGTCTCCTTGCTGGGTAAAGTGCCTCTCGACCCACAGATAGGTAAAGACACTTATTGCACTGCACTTAAAGCAAGTTGTTCCTCCTATACTGATGTTACTGCTGGAAAACCCTGATGTGAGCACTGATGTCTCTTAGCACTTTTAGATAGAATGGGGTTTTTTAAATCAAAAGTAGTCACTGGAACTGTGACATAGCTTGGTGTGGAATGAGGGTAGTGCTGGGGTAATTTCTTCAACTCTTCCATAATCAAGTAAGATTACATGCTGCATCTTTTCAGCTCTGTAATCATATTTGAAATACAACATGTCTTTCTCTTCAGTATAGTCACCTGGAAATGCAGACTGAATGAAATAATAACCACTTCAAAGAAGAGTATTTTGAAGATGTTAAGCACTAAAACCAGTGTTTTAACCTGTTACTGGCACTGCCAAAATTCTCCTGTGGGTCATGAGGAGGCATGGGTCTTTGCCCACTAGCTGTTACCAATTAATACCTGAATTAATGACATCAAGGAACAGCTTAGTACTCCCAAATGGAAGTTCCTGCTAGTACTATTCCTCTGTCAAACTGTACACTGTATTTCTAGTCCTGTTACTGACTTCAGGGCTTCCTAAAAGGAATAGATGCAGGTGGCTGTTTGAAAAGGTGTAACTGGAACAGGGTAAAGGCTAAAGAAAAGAAAAGCTCATCTTTTTCTGTTGCTTTGTTTCTGTATTTTTCCTCTTCAAGGAAAAAGTTGTGACAGAGGCCAGTCTTTCTTGGCTGAAGCACCTGAGTCTCCAGCTACGTTATCTTACAGGAATATCATTCAGAGTGAGTCTGAGAATCACTGTGCAAATGAGTCCCCTCGGTTCCGAGCACTGCTGCAGTATGCAAAAGGGTTAAACAGGCTTGTGTTACTGTGCCACAAATAATAAAATCAAGAGAGGTGCACAGCAATTCTGAAAGTAACAGGTGCAAAGACCATGTTTGCTTCTGGGCATCACTTCTGACTGGCTGGTAAAGCAATAACAGAAATGTATTTGATACCTGGTACCAGTGCTTGACTTCAGGGAAGTCAGACCATTTTCAGAGATGGGGTGACCTTGTGCTCAGAGAAACCTTCTGAGGCTCTCCAGCAGGTGTGTGGAGGGGTGGGAGGCAGCTGACTGACCAATGCCTCCACTTTCCTACTGTAATTACACAAAAACCCCTTGCAAAAACTCCCTGAACAGCTTGTGCTGTGCTGTTTAAAAATCATCCTAAAGCCACTTTCAGTGTAAGGAAGGCCCAGCTTCAGATATTTGTATCCTATGGGGACAGATGCAGCAACAACAAACTCCCTGATGTACAACTCAAATAGTACTTATATTACTTTCTCTCCATCTTTGCAGGAATTCAGGAATACTGTGAACAACACCATTTGCAAGAAGAAAAGATAATGTAATCTGTAAATGGAACAAAAATGTAGTTCATGTTTAATTATAGAAAAGTAACTTATGCCTTGATTTATTAAAGGAATGTATTCTTTTTGTATATTGCAAATAAATTCTTAATATAAAGGCTCTTGCCTGGTTTTTTTCCAAAAGTTCAAGATTCTTGGGGTTCTTCCCTCACTAGAAGGCTGTGAATCTGCTTCTGGATTATCAAGTGCATTCTCCTTCCAGTGTCATGGTACCAATAACCTGACTGTGAAGGCAACAGTTGAAGTGGTGGGAATAAAACACACATTTTATTTAGGGGGTTGAATTTAAAATATGCTGAGTTGACACTGGGGCATGTACAGCAGTCTTTGTCCTGCCTGCTGCACAAGGGTGAGCTGTAATGCCTCTTCTCTCTCCTGGAATAGTAACAGTTAAGTGTGTCCTTTTTTAGTGGAAAAGATCTGTGTGTAGATTGAAAGCCAGGGTAGTATTACAGTAGAAGTGCACTGCTTTATTTATTTTTTTACAGGTATCAAAATAAGATTAATTTCTTAACTATACATAATTGCCAGCTTCCCACAAGTAGTGGGTGAACATGGTTCATGACTTTTGTTTTCTTCTATTTGACCCTAAGCCTGAACATTAAACATTCAGTATTTTTAATACCCAAGAGGCCCTTTGGGACTGTAATTTGAAAGCTCTGAAAAATCAGTATTGTGTACAAGAGGGAAAGGCAATTGGATTTTGTTTATTGTTGTTCCAAAGTTAAACAAATTAGCACTGTCTTTTCATTACATATAATTTCGGGATAAGATAATCCAACAGTTTGTGATTAATTGACAACTTTTCTGAAAGCAGCGTGCTCCTTGTAAACCACAAGCACTGTCTGTGCTCACACAAACAACTTTTTGGTGAAGCTTTTAAATAACAAAGGCTTCAAACCTTCCAGGATCTAAAGACTCAAGCACAAATGACTTTATTTCATGCAGGCATAATTCTAGATGAGCTTTATCTAAATATCTTCCCATGAAGATCAGCGTTCATGAATTACTTTTTTACTGCTCATCCTTTAGCTCTTCCTTGTTTGGTTACCTGGTGCCTGTATTCCCATGTTCTCCAGTGCCATCTTCTGAAATTCTCCTGCTCTGTCCTGTTAAGGGAACAGAGCAAACACAGCTGTGACCATAACCTGGGACATAGGGATCTCTTACAAAAGCAGGGAACTGCCAGCTGGAAGCCTGAGGGTTGAAGATGGCTCTTCCAGCTGTGCTTGAGCAGAGGCCTTAGAATTACAGTAACTCCAAGGATTTAACTTAAGGACATTCTTCTGGAGCTTGGAAGCAGCTCAGTTGTGGAGCTCAGCAGGCTTCCAAACATGGAGTAAAGTGACCTGGGATTATGGCAGTTCCATGTGACACTGCCAGAGAGGCTTGGTGGAGAATCAGGATCACCCTGGACTCACAGGAACTGAGACCTGGGAAGAGCCAGCACCAGCCCTGAGGGGCAGGTTGGCTGTGCTACCCCATGGGCTGAAGCTCAGTACTCACTCTTGACATCTGCCATGCCAAACAGCCTTGAGGTTACTCTGCTGATGGATTTTTGTCCCCCTAACTTGCAGTGGATGTAGCCATATAAATTAGCAGTCTGGAGGGAGATCCCAGCAATCACGAGAGCCTGTGGACAAACAAGAGTTCAGCAGGAGCAAATCCATGGCTATGGATTGTAGGATATACACGTGTGTGTGTGTGTGTACACACTACCTAGATAAATGTGCTGTAAGAGGGGCGCATTCCTTCGGATAATACATGGCCTTCAAAAACATCCAACCATGTCAAACACAAGAGTCTTTCTAAAATCTACCTCTTTTTATCAAAACACCAATATCAGTTTTGTCATTCTGTATCTTGAAAGACTTCATTACTTTCCTAAAAGCACTTACTCAAAAAAGGACTCACTCAACAGATTCCAGAAACGTTTCACTTTTTTTAATCCCCATTTCTATCTAGAAGTTTTACATCCACATACACGGCACACCTGCAGGCCTGTTTAGCTGACAAACACCTTATTATAACCAAATAAGATCAGTAATTCATGGATTTACAAAGAGCACCCATAGATAGATTCCCTATTGACATTGACAGGCCCTGAAAATAATCAGCTCCTTTTGCATTACTTTAGGTTTAGCAGCAGGTGGAGCCAACCTGACTAACGCAATAACATAAAAATGTTTCTCAACCTCCAGAACCAGTTTACCAGAAGTGATTTTTTTTTTGTGTGTGTAACTTGCCTTTTACAAGCACCTGGGCAACCTGCCTCCTGCACCAGTTAGAGTTCTGTCTCCAAGCAGCTTTTGGCTCAGCAAACAATCTCTGCTTTTCAGAAATAAAGGTGGAGCCATGAACAAAGAATACTGGCTTAATTTTAACTATTGCTTGATTAGGGGCACCAGAAAGCAGTTAATGATTTGCAATTGATTCATGCCCATAGCAGAATTTCTTGTTTAATTAAATAATAATATGCAATCTTGACTGTTACTTGTTACGTAACTGTACATGAAGGTGCTTTTTATCTTTTCAAACTGAATTAAGAAATGGTTCTGATCATGGCTGGGAACTTGACAGAATGAATAGTGTGGTAATTAGCCAAGCACTTAATTTTTACAGGGGAAAATGTGAAGATTTCATAGACAAAAATATCTTAAAAAATGTGAAGATTTCATAGACAAAAATATCTTAATGTAATGCAATCTATGGGGCAAATTTCCTCTCATATTTAAAAAAAAGTGTTGGGGTATATTTAAGTAGACGGTTTACAAGTAGAGCAATGATAAAATACTTACTTATAGCTCAACTTATCAAGGTTTTATGAGCTAATGACACTGGTTCTTTCAAAAGGGAATGGTACCAGAGATCTAAAATCCTTACTTTTAAAAGTACATTTAAGTTCCCGGGAGACCTAAAAACCAACATCACTGGTTCATTTTTGTCCTCTCACGTTAGTTTCATTTCACTGAAATTTGTTGGGGCAGAGTAAGTTGCTACAGTTAAACAGAAGCCCATAGTTTTCCCCACCACTTGATGTTCCCTAGAGGAAGGAGTTGACATCTGATAACACATTAAAAGTGCAGCTAAAAATTACCAATCCATTCCGGAGTGCAAACCTTGACTGCAGAAAACTCTGCAGGTTTCTTTGAAGCTGCTGGAGGTGGGAATTTTGTACTGCTGGAAGATTTGGTACAAAACTAACAGATCTGGGTTTTCCCTCTACCAAGATTGTTTTCAGTAACCCCTTACTCACCAGCCATTTCAGCTTCAAGGAGAACAAGGTGCTAAAGAAAAACATTGTCCAAATCACTGGGCAGATGATGAGACCGAGCCAAAAGATTCGGGCTTCAGCTTCAGTTGAGGCAGCTATTGTAGGCACCTGGCAAAAAAAATTGAGACTATTAGTCGCAAAGTCAAAACCCACAATAAATGAACAGAGGAGGAAGATTACATTTATCATATGCATAGATTTCCTACTATATAAACTATTATGTTATCTCTATTATATAAATACTTGGGTTTTGCTTCTGAACTCTGCTGACATTCCATGAATTAAGAACTATGGCTTTGAAAGTGCCTCATGTGTCATGCTGGAGTTGAGCACACTGTAACTGCAGGAGGCAGCCTTATATGCTGTCTGTTCTTCAAGGAGAGCAGAAATGTCAGAGCAGGCTGCAAAGCCCTGCCTTACAGATTCCTTCATGTCAGCACAACTCACATGTCTCTATATTGTGATACTCATCACTCATCACACTTTAGAAAGAACAAAAAACCCCTAAAGAGAATTGTTCAGAAGGTTCTAATCTTTCCAAAACTCAAAATCTCACTCCAACTCTCCGACCACTTGATAGCTGCTAATGCAAACTTCTGAAACAGATGCATCACAACTGGAAAAGAAAGCCCTCTGGACTCTTCCACTCTGAAAAGCTTTTTAGTTAATTTTCAGTATATTGAGCTCTCCATGTGTTCTTTCCTGCAAGGTTTCCTCTATTCTGTCTTCAGGCCTTCCTCAGACTCACAGGAAGCACATTAATTTGCGTTCCTTGCTCGGGGCACCCCGGAGCCACAGCCGAGGCTGCAGAGGGCACTGCGGCCCCGCACACCGGGACAGCACCGCGACAGCCCGGCCGCTGGGGACACAGCTGGAGGGCTCCAAAGAATGTCCTGGTGAGCACCTGGGTGCTGCTCTGCCAGGCTCAGTGGGCCTGTGGATAGAATGTCAGCAAGTGAAAGCAAAATCCTGAGTCTTGACTCTGGCAGTGATGCCAAATCTCTAGTGCTTTTTTAACCCCCCTCAGTGTGTTTGGGGGGCACTGGCAGTATCAAAATGCTCTGTGATACAGGTTCTCTTTCCCACATTATCTGAGAACATGAATACAATATTAATGTCGAAATACTAAATCTGAACTATTCAGCATCGCTTTCCACATAGATCTTTCCTGAAGAGGATTCTGTGTTGGGATTACCTATGGAAAGGTGTGTTTATTATAAGATATTCTCACTAGAAAATAAAATAGAACTACCAGAAACATTTCATACCTATAGCACCATGCTATGGTTATTTATTCTGCTTATCCATATGCTGACAATGTTGTGAGACCTGTTTTGCCCTGAATGCTTCCAGGATGTGACAAACCAGTGTTTGCACCTGAATACTGACATTGTTTTCTATGGAAGCTGGATAAAATGTAACTGTTACAAAGGTGCTCTATTTGTTACTTTATTTGACTTGGTATGGGCTTTACCCATTTCCTATGATTCTGTTTGCACTGTGCCTGTTTCTATTAATGTATTTACCCTTTTTGCTTCAAACACCCAGTGACTTTTTCCATCTTCATCAATCTGGTTCCACCAACGCAAACCAACCAAGAGTCTTCCTGTCACATTCTAATGATGAAACCATTATTTGCATTAATCAGTAACACAAGTCACTTGTCAGTAAAACAGTTAAAAATAGAAAAAATTTAAAAGACAAGCATGTTCAAAAATCATCTTCTTTTATCTAATACTAAAATTACTTCTGAAAGCTGTTACAGCTTGAGTACAACAGCTATTAATGATGGGTGAAGTTACAAATTTAGAGGCCTGTTCTCTTTCAATATGGTAATTAGCACAATAGCACTTATTTAAATTAGAAATTATAGGCTGTATCTTTTTCAAGTCAGTTAGTTGGACAAGCATGCAAAAAACAAATTTCCTCAGTAAAAGAGGAATACTGAGAACAAAAATGCACTGAAAAATGGGACATTAATGGCAAGCAAGTTGTGTAGGATCAGGGAAACAAACCAAAAGAGTATTTCTGCACCCGGATGAACACCAAAAGCTTTTAGAATGCTGGAGGTGCATCAATGCTTCACTTCTACAAAACAAAAGCCTTGCTCCACATGTGGAGCCCCTGGATCCTGGGCTGGCCTGACCTGCCTGCAGGGGATTAGGGCAGCAGAGCTATAGCTGGGCTTTCAGGAGTTCTGCAGCCCCTGCTGTGGGGTCTGAGCACAGGGCTGCAGATCTGGACATCCCTGGTCATCCATTACTGAAAGTCAGTATTACTTTAATCTTTTAATTTATTTTTTTAAGGGGAAAGCATACAAACAAATCTACCTATGGCAAAGCAATTTTTTCACCATATTAGTATTCAGTAGTAGTCAGCCATTGAAAACATGGTGCTAAATAACTAACACACGTTACATGTTACTAGCAGCTTCATTAAAATGGGCTAGACATTTAATAAATTAACAAAAAGCAATATTTTTGTCACTTCAGTCATTATACATATTTTATTTTTTTTTTAATTAATGACAAAAAAGATATGTTCCAAGGTAATTACTACTGGGGGTCATCTTACCTTGACAGACCAAAAGTCAAAGGATAGAAGGAGGAGAATAGTGACAAAACAAGCAACAAAGCTGTTGCTGAACCAGTCACAGAACAAGTAGGTAACAATAGCACTCACTCGGAAAAACAGATGGAAAAAGGTGGCCAGTGGGTGCCTAGAAAAGAAAAAACACAGAGCATATATGAGGTTATGGGACAGGAGGGAATGTTACAGAAGTTGCTAACAATGTAGCACAACATAGCTATTTCAAGTTTAAAATGGAATTTTGGTTAGCAGCTGCTATTATTTCAATGTTGGCATATATCTTCATTATCAGAGCAATCTGATAATGGTACTTTCAGTAGCCAAGCTTCAGTCTAAAGCTAAAAGATGAATGTGGTGTTCCTGTCAAAACTTTCTCAAAGACAGAACAAAATATGGAGCCTTTCACCAGATTCTTTGGTACCATGTGAAGGAATTTAAGGTTGTGTGCAATCCAGTACCATAAAATCCTCATAGTTTCATGAAATTAATCAGCATTGCAAAACACAAAAGAATTGAGAGAGCTCTTATGCCTTTCAGAACAGTTTTGAAAACAAAATATGAGCTCTAAAACTAAAAAAAATAAATTGTAGCTGCTTGCTCTAAGACAAAATGAACTTTCATATTTAATGTCTAAATCAAAACACTTCCTTTTAGACAGGCCAAATTATTTGGGAATCTAACAGTTCTTCTGAATTACTGCTTATTAATTTCACTAGTATTTCTGCTTTGCTCATTGAACAAAATTTTGTCTGCAACAAAATAAAGAGAAATTTCAGTGAAAGAAGTAACTATGGGACATAGAATATTGGCCTGCACAGTAGGGTAGGGGTGCAGGCTGGAGAATGCTGTAATGAGCACAGTACAATGTTCAGGGTAATATACCAAGTAAAAATCTTGCTCTGCAATTGCTTGTGTTAATTAATTGAAAGTGAGAATTAACTACAGGCTCTGCAGTTAAGTAACTTCTTCCTTGAAGCCTAGAGAATAAAATATCTGAATAAGATATTTAAGTCAACAATTGTCCCATTAAGCTCCTACATCTCTGTTAACAATTAACAGTAGTATGGCCAATTAACAAAAGTATGGCCTAGGGTGTAATCAACTATTCACTAAATGTTATTCTATTACTGTGTTTAATAAATGTGACATATGATACATACACAATGGCTTACTATAAATTTAAATTATAGCTATATAATAACTATTATAACTTAAATATCCTTGCTATATTATTACTCTATAGCTGTTTAACTGTTCTAGTGTTTATCTTTCTCTAATGGCAAAGCCGTGCTTATAGTACACATGTGGCTGGAGAGGGAAGAATGATGCACAGGTGTATTTTATATTTACTCCTGGTCATGCCCCTCTGAACTTCAAACTTTCCAAAAACTTCTGACTTAGAACTGAACATGTGACATTTTGAGCAAAGGGGCTTTTTCTGCCATAAGCAGCCAGGTGGGTGGAAGGGATATTGTGAACTGGCTAAAACTGGCAGTGCCTGGCTGCTTCGAGCCTTGATCTTGGTCAAGAGATGTAACAGTCAGTTATGGAAGTGGTACCCTTGTGTCCAGAGCAGCTTTCATAGATCACAATCCCAAAGCACACCAGGGCTGCCTGAGCTTTTCTAATGGATCAGCTGCAAATGTGGCAGCAACTTTGGAGAAGCCATGTATCCTTTTGGAAGGCAGATTCAGCAGTATTACTGGATTACAACAGAATTACTGTTTAGATGTTGAATTTGTTCCAGTATCAAACATTGAAGGGTATTTACTAAAAAAAACAAACATATGAGCAAAAAACTCTCATTTATTACAATGCTGAGCATTTCCTGAGACTCTGGAAAGGATAAAGCACAGCAACCCACTTGTTTGGCTTTCTAGTTTTCCTGTCGCATCTAAACATCCACGTGATGTAGCATGGGAGGCTCAAGGCTCAGTGACTGTGATTTACCTTGTTACAATGACCTCTCTTCTGTTTGTGAGCCTAATGCCTGTTAGGACAGGAATGAGATGTAATCAATTTAATTGTATCCTGTGTTAAAGACTCAAATTTGGGTCAGGCCTGAGCTATGCCAGTGAACCACAGGAGAATCATTCCAGGTACCTGCTCAGAAGTGCCACAGCAGTACTCTTACATGCTGCTTTTTTTGTTTTGTTTTTTTTTTTTCTGTCTGATACTTCAAAATGTATTGAGGCAAATTTTTAATAAATGGGCTCTCTCTTCTCCTTGATCATTATGTTTCCTGGTTGATTTGTAAAAGAAGAAATCATATGCTCCCAGCTTCCAGATCCATAGTTCTGCTACTGCAATGAACTTACTTCTTCAGAAAGTAGCCACTAACCTTTTGCTTTTAAGGAGCCCTTTTGTACATACCGCAGAGAATCACAAAAGCACAATTTGTCATAGCCAATGCAAATGCTAACCAAGTTCAAGATATATGAAACTGGGATAAAGACAAATGATTGAAACATCTTGTTATGCCCTTTAATAAGATAACACAGTTTTGCAGCACCTAGGTGTGTTCCAGGCTCATTTGCACAAGATTCTTCAGAAATATAAAAACAAACATGTGACCAGTGTAAGCAGTTTCATTTCTGCATTCTATAGCAGATGAATTTTCAATATGACATCATCTTTTAATATTGTCTTGAAGGCCAGAAAGAAGAGCTGTTTCTAATGAAACCAGTGTCTACACGAAGTGATCACAGAGTAGTACTGTTTGCTGATACTTTACCTGTGCTGTATTACTGAGTAGCACGAATCCGGAGGAACAAACATTCCAGGGTGGTTTCACTTCATGCTACATCTACTCTGATCCCTCAGACAGAATCTGGGGCTCACATGATCAAGGTACTTCTAAGCTGTATTTCCCAGCTTAGGTGAATCCTTTGGGCTATGTTCTCCAAGACTGCACCAAAATATAAACCTTTATTTCAAATGTGTGCTGCTGCTAAGGTGCAAAACTAAGGCAATTCTGCAAAGGTTAATCTTATGTCAGGGCTGACTCAAGTAGTGACAAAGTCCAAAGCAAAGCAAGGACAGAAATGCTTCACTAGACACTAGTAAAACAGAGTAATTGTATTGTAAAGCTACATGATTGCATTTTATCTCAGCTAATGTTGTGTCAAGTTTAACACCTATTATATTTCTTTGTTTACACCTTCAAGAAATATCATTGTAATGGACCAGACGAAATTGTGGCAAGGCAGAAGAAAGCAATCTACATCAAAGTTGATTATGTACATTATTGATCAGTGCATGCCAAATTCCTTTTTTACTTAAAACTCTTCCTTTCACAATCTTGACTGGAGATTCTTCAAAAGCCACTGATTGATCAGCTCTGTCACCTGGGACCTCAGTGTGACCAGAGCTGCAGAGTGCCACCTCTGGTGAGGAACCCAAGGGTAGACTGCTTAGCCTAACACATGAGATGGCTTAACGGGCTGGGTTTTCTCAGGTAACGTCTAGAAGCATAAGATATTTTACATTCCGCACAGCATCACATCCCGTGGTATGAAATCATGAGAGTTTTACTGCAGCTATCTGGCTGTTCAGCCAGGTGTACTCTGCAGTGCCTGAGCACTGCTGCACAGAGGGCTTTACTGGAGCTAAGAGTTGTCTCCGCTGCCCCAGCTCTAACTAAAGCACTGTTTGCTTGGGGTTTGGGATGTTGGGTGCGTCAGGTTTTCATTTCCAGCGACACGGTGATGCCGGGCAGCGAGGCCCGGCCTCGCCTGCTCCAGCGCGAGCATCTCCCGGACAGAGGCCCCCAGATTTCCCGGGCAGCCTGTTCCAGCGCTTGACCACCCTCCCTGTAAAAAATGGGAATGAAGTGTTCAAATGGAGTTTTCTGTACACCGGAATAGCCAGGGCCGCCCGGGCGCCGCGATGCTGCGGCCTCCGCGTCGTTACCTGATCCGCGCTTTCCGCAGCGCCAGCTCCTCCTCGCTCCCGAAATCCAGGGACACATCCTCAGTGTCGTCCACCAGCGCCTGCGGCGGGAGCCCGTCAGCGCGCAGGGTTCGGGGGAGCCGCGCCCCGCCCGCAGCGCCCGCCGCCCCTACCTG